ACCCCCCCCCCCCCCGGAGTGAAGGGAGGGGCAGGCAGGCCAGGGAGCCTCTGGCCAGCAGTAACTTCATGTCTCTCCCCCCCCATCCCTTCCTCTCTATGCCTCCCCTCCCCGCCCTTCTCCCCACTAAGCTGGCATGTGCTGAGGGACTGTGGGGTTTTCTGGGCCCCGGGAAATGTGTTGCTGGGGTTCCCGAGGACTCTCTGGAAAGGATTTGGAGGAAAATAAATAAGCCAGTGTCCAGCTCAGCCTCTCCTGGCTGCCACAAGTAAACACCATCGCAGAAGCCAGCCTGGAAGCCGCTTTGGCCTCCCCTCCCCTGCTTACACCTGGCTCACTGGCCGCCTCTCCAGCTCCCTCCTTCCTGCCCCTCCCCGTCCAGCCCCTCCTCCTTGACTCTGGGAGCCTGAAAAGTCAGGGAGCACACCCACCCTCGGAGTCGGGTCCTGGTGCTGTGGGCTCCTGGTGCTGCGGGCGCTGGCACGCTGGAGGCTGGGCAGAGGAGCCTGTGGGAGAGAAGACGGGTGCTGCAGCTCAGCCTGCTTGTCGGAGTAAGTCTCCCAGCCTCCCTGCTCAGCCAGGCCAAGGGTGCGCTCTAGGTTGGCGAGTTTGACTCTGATGATGGAGAATGGTGGGGGCTTTTTCAAGTTTTGTGACATCTGAGGAAGCTTTGGGTCTTAAACGTCTGTTTAGAGTCAATGGACCCAAGCTAATTTTCCTCGTTGTGTCCCTCCAAGGTGGGGCTCGCGTGTGAAGAAACCCTCAAAACCCACGCATTTACGTTGTAGGGCTTCCCGGACTACCTAGGATGTCAAGGTGCTTTGCTTTTGACCCAAGTCATATCAGCTTAGGCCTGTCAGCGTGGGTGCTGGTGGTGTGGCTGTGGAATGGGAAGCAAATTTGTGATAACAACTTCAATTAATTCAACTGACCCACTCTAGAACCCAGCTCCCAGTGAACCAGGGCTCTGAGATGGGGGCAGTTCCCTGACGGGGGTGGCAACTGAGGGCCCCCCCCCAGGCCCAGGGAGTGGCTAAGGGGCCTTCCCATGGTATGTGGCTAAGCCCAGCTGAAACAGCTGGATCTGGGGAGCGGGCACTGCCGGGAGGCGCTGGGTGCTGCCTCCGAGTGGGGAGTCCCCTTGTCCTGCTGCTGCCAGGCTGCTGTGAGGGAGCTTGGGGGGGGGAGGGAAGTGAGCCCCATAGTTGCAGCCTCGGTGGGAGAGAGGCTGCACACCCACATACTCACAGGCCATCACACACATTGTCATGGGCTGAAATACATACATTCAGATATACCTCCCCCCCCCCCCCCCCCACACCCAACAAAACAACAACAAACCATG